CAGAACTCTGAACGAAGTGTATAGAAATCGTTGGAACTATTGTAGAACTATCGGAAAATGCCAAAAAGAAGGCTGGAACTGGCTGTTAAGAGGTACTTTACTCTTGTGGTGCGGTGCCAGCGCTCAGATTAAAAAATTATTTAAACATATTTAAATGGCAGAACTCTGAACGAAGTGTATAGAAATCGTTGGAACTATTGTAGAACTATCGGAAAATGCCGAAAAGAAGGCTGGAACTGGCTGTTAAGAGGTACTTTACTCTTGTGGTGCGGTGCCAGCGCGGTGCCAGCGCGCGGTTTTAATTATTATTTAAAATTACTTAGAGGCCGGAACTATTGTTAAAACCTATCAGGAACTGTAGAACTCATCGAGAACTATAAGATTACTTGTTTTCGATTGATTTTTTCGAATTTTGCGGTGCCACGGGAAGTTAGCACCTCAAATTTTCAAGTGTTATTTTTTTTAGCTAAATCAACGGAACTATTTATATAACTTATCAGGAACTATAGAACTATTGCGGGTGCCAATGGAACTCTTATCAAAACTTGCGGTGCCAAAAGATGAGGTGCCAACTTCACACACGTGGTGCGGGGATGGTCTGGCAAACGAGCCACTCAGAACGGCGCGCATGGGGAGGAGAAGGATAGCGCTTGAGCAGTAGGCTGGTCGGACGCTTGTATTCGCCTATCTTTAAACGTTAATATCTCGTTAAATATTGCGTCAACTGCAAAATGGTACAAAACTGTTTTGTTCCCCTTGATCCAATCTACGTCCCCATTGTGTTTCGATCCGTTTTTTTGAGACACCCTATATACATTAAAGTATACACATACATATGGGAACATATGTATACATGTGAAATCGTTCGTAAAATACGAACCTCTAACAATTGATAAAATCCCTTGTTAGTATATGTGTGCGTGTGTGTGTCTTGCACACAAGGCGTTCTATCGTGATTCGTCTGAGACAACACTCGCCAACAGGTAAGAGCCTGTGGCCCGTCTATAGGTTAGAGCCTATGACGCGACGAAAAACGCGCAAGCACAACGCTCGCCAACAGGTAAGAGCCTGTGGCCCGTCTATAGGTAAGAGCCTATGACGCAACGACACCGTGCAAGTATTCCGCAGAAATCTGCGTTAATCCCCTTCCCCTCTACGTGGCGTAGATGCAGGAAGTTTCCACTAAATATCTCACCTAACCTAGAACTTTACTTACTCGATTCTCCTCTTCTATAACGACCATGGTCGTTATATCTCTTAAATTCCTTCATCAAGCGTCTCATCTTTCTCTCTAATCTATTTTCCTTAGAACTTTCCGAACTAATGCTTCTGTATTTTCTCTTTCCCATCTTTATTTCCGGTAAGACGGAAAAAGTGATGTGGCCTCGGCACAAAGAAAAAGAATGACGCCCGGACCGGGATTATAGATGGTAGACATTTTGACTTTGAAGCTTGTGGCGCCCCGGCATATGGTTGAGGAGTACTACGTTTTATCTTGAGGAAGAGGCGCGAAATACAATTAGATATATAGGTTTTATATACAGGGTGAGTCACTTAAGATCGGCCACCCGAATAACACCCACAGTTTTGGAGATAGGAAAAAATGTTTCAGATGAAAGTGGAACGGTTTCAAGGGGGATATATTTTGGTCATGTTGTTTTTCTTCGAGGTGGAAGCGTCAAAAAAATATGAAGATCACCTCCTTTTTTTTAATGGAATTATATAATTTTTTTTACGTAATATGATTCCTTTAATTATTCTGCATAAAAGTATTAAGGTAGAGATATAAAAAAAACAGTAGTTTATGAAATATTTTATACTTTATTGTGACACATATTGACGTAAAATGTTAAATAATTCGTAAACTATTAATTTTTTTATAATCGCGCGTACCTTAATATTTTTATGAACAGAATAATGAGATGAATCAATTGGTGGAATGAAAATACATAGTTGCTTATTTAAAAAATTATCCATTTTACATACATATTTTTTTTTAAAGCAACTGTGTGTTTTCCTTCCATCAATTGATTCATCTCATTATTCTCTTCAAAAGTATTAAGGTACGATTATTAAAAAATTAATAGTTTACGAGTCATTTAACATTTTACGTCGATATATATCAGAATAAAGTATAAAATATCTCGTAAACTATTGGTTTTTTGATATGTCTACCTTAATACTTTTATATGCAGAATAATTAAAGGAATCATATTGTGTAAAAAAAATTATACAATTCCATTTAAAAAAATGGAGATGACCTTCAAATCTTTTTGGCGCTTCCACCTAGAAGAAAGACAACGCGACCAAAACACGTCTCTCTTGAAACCGTTCCACTCTCATTTGAAACATTTTTTCTTATCTCCAAAACTGTGGGCGTTATTCGGGTGGCCGATCTTAAGTGACTCATCCTGAATATAAGAATAAATAAAGATATGTAACATCATAGCTTACAATAATAAAATTAGACAAGTAAGCAATAATAACGTGTAAAAAAATGTCATATGGATTTCGTACAACTCATCTATTCACAATCTTGCATTGGATGCATTTCAATGTCTTCTCGAAGCCGAGGTATCCCAAGTCATTCTTTGATGGATTGAACAAAGAGGAATCATTAGCTCATCTCCTTTATGTTTACACGGGCCTCTTGAATGTAAGCGCCGATCTCTCCACTGTACGTTCCAATCTTTCAAAACATTCGTACTTTCGCTTCTTCTCTTCCTCGGACAGCGAAGAAAAACGTGCTCCATCCGTTTCGAGCTATCTCGATTGAATTCGCGACACGACTTATGCCCAATTTCTTCATTTCTAGATAACTTTATTCAAGAGATATCTTCCAGAATACAATGGAAATATCTCCTGGATAAGGTTATCCGCAATTTATCTGGAAGTGAAGAAATTGGGCATTAGGGCATCCCATAACTGTGTGTATTTCCTTATAAGCTAAACCGATTAGGCGCGTAATAGTTCCTAATTCAGCTCCTGATATGTATAACAAAAATATCGTATGTCATCGTACAACTCATCTATTCGCGATTCTCGTAAGGGTGGGATTTCATTTATGCGTTTTTGTCATACAACAAATTTTTCAAGCCTGTTGATTGGCTATACTCTTTAGGATAAAGAGATCCGAGGACCTCTTTGTCCTTCTCTCTCTCTCTCTCTCTCTCTCTCTCTCTCTCTCTCTCTCTCTCGTACGACAAAAACGCACAAATAAAATCCCACCCTAAGACTGCTACCGTTATCATAATTATCATCTTTTTACATGCTACGCGCGGTATTCCCTATTCCGCACGTCCTTTTATAGAAATCGACAGCGCTTTAGTCTTCATGGGGCGCTGCTCAAATGATTCGATAGCTATTTTTCTACAAACGATAATCAATCTTAATTGCAGCAAATACGGAGGCTTTCAAAAACTCTACAAATGAAATTAAATTTCAGAATTCGATGGGGATGATCTCATAGCGCAAGCGGTCAGTTTCTTCTCAGCCGGTTTCGATACGTCCGCAGTACCTATTGCTTTCACGTTATACGAACTCGCATTACAACCTGATATTCAGAACACCCTAAGAAAAGAAATACACCAAGCGCTCAACAATTTCAATGGAAAAGTTACATACGATATGGTGCGCTAAAATATTATCTGTTCCATCAAATAATTTCTGTAAAAAATGCTGATATAAATATTGTTTATATTTTTGCCGAACCAAATACTTTTTTCATCTACCGATTTCATTCCTAAGTGAATTTTAAAACTTGATAAATCTTCAATATGTAAAAATAACATTTTTATTCTACTAGATCACGTCGCTACCGTATATGGATATGGTGATGTCGGAAATTTTAAGAAAATATCCACCAGTGGGATTTCTGAATCGCAAGACAATGGAGACTTACCAAATACCGAATTTTAATCTAGTACTTGAGAAGGATATGCCGGTTTATATCCCAATGCTTGCTCTACATTATGATTCGGAATATTTTCCTAATCCTGAAAAATTCGATCCAGAGCGATTCAATGAAGAGAACAAACGTAATATGCCATCATGCGTTTACTTCCCTTTTGGAGACGGTCCACATGTGTGCATAGGTGAAGAAATTAATTTTAATTATCATATCAAGGAAAGATTAAAATTGCCAATCACACGCGAAATTAAAATCAGTAAAAAAAATGGAAGATGACTTTATAACTACACAAATTTAAAATTTTATATTTAGACAATTAAGTTACGTACGAGTTCTTGTATTTGAATTATAAAATTGAATTTGAAAACATAAATTAAGTAGCGTATATTTTAAGATGTTTTTTACATGCACAGATTGCGTTATAAATAAATTAGAAATAAAGAAATCGGCGGAAATAAATTATGATACCTATATATACAATTACTTAATATTGATGCGATAAAATCTCAAATCATGATCATTGATAGCGATTATGCAATATTATTCAAGACCTTTTTTAGTTTAACTAGACTCTATGATTACAGAGAATTATGGAATTGATAATTTCAATTAGTTGCAAATATAAGAAAAATAAAATCAATTAACATTTAGAAATTAATTTTTTTTTTTAAGATAATATAATAAGTTGTATATTATTGTACATTTTACAGGTACTCGCTTTGCATTTTTACTGATGAAATTGACGCTCATTAAAATATTGAATAAATATGAAGTAACACCATGCGAAAAAACTATGATACCAATGATCATTGACCCAACAATGGTTATGACAGCACCGTTAAATGGCGAAATATATCTCAACATGCGAAAAGCTAATACTGTTACTGATTAAAATTTGACAAAATAATATTGATATATTATGGTATAATCACATTTTTGTATTAACATTGTACCATTTACAGGCTAATCTGTAAGAATAAATCGAGAAATTTTTTAGCATGAAAAAACTTCAATTCTTACTTCATTATACTCTGGTAGTTGCAAAATGAGGAAAATTCAATTTAACTAAACTTCAGAATAATGACTCTACAACTATCAACATGAAACTTAAAATATATCTTGCTTACTTATTAAATTATAAAAGATAATAATTAAAGAGGGATTTTTGTCAAATATTTCTTCATCACCCGCAGAATGATGGTTTTTCTTTTATTCGTCGACATTGTAAATATACAGGGTGTTTCCAAATTAAATGGCAAAACTTCGGGAGCGTGTAGAGGAGTAAAAAACTAAGAAAAAAAGTCCTATAGACATATGCTCGTTTTTGCTCCGTTTCAGAGAAATCGAAAAAAAATGTTTACATTTCTTGCCATATCTAGCACCGATTGATATATATATATATATATACATATACAGCTATGTATATATCCATTTTCATTCACTTACTCTCATTTACAAAAAGACTAACGATCGATCACGCGGGCAAGCTACTCGCCGGGCGATCGACCATGTGGATTTACTTACAATTATGCATCTGTAATATGTAACTACGACATCTCGGAATCGAATGGAATGATTGATACCATATATCGATAGTATCTTTTATATATTACATATATAAATATATATATTTGTATATATATATTTTTATATATAAATATGTATACTTTTCTTCGCGCGTTTTGTTCAGTGACGGTTTATAATATGGTTTGCGATGATTTCAATTTGTAATATAAATAATACACACGATTACATATAACGTGTTGATCGTATACATAAGCAGCTCTAGTTCCCTTTTTCAAATATAATCCTTCTGATCGCATTTCATAGGAATGTTTATCTTATATATAACTCAACAGGATCGGAGGATTATATCTGAAAACATACATTCTAACTGTACAGATTACAAGACTGATAGAACTGGTTTGTATCTTTCTTTTTCTCATCAACACGCCTACGGTTAGAATAATATACACTAGATACTAGTGCATTAATTGCAAATATCTTTTCACATTTTTTTTGAAACCTCTCAAAAACGTCATTAAATGTAAAACAACAAATCAATGAGAAATAAGAAATTTTCAAAAGTTTTGTTAAAAGTTAAATATTTTTATTTCGAACGCTAACATAAATACAAAGTTAAAAATTACTGCAACGTGATTTGTTTTTATTTCTAACTGTGTCAGGAAGACGTTACAAATATTACGATTTTTTAATTTAGGTATCGATTATTCTATTTCGTCGTAGAATAGCAAAAGTAATGACACTATATTGACGCCAATTAATCTGATTAAAATAAATGTTTCTCATCAAACAAGATTAAGATTGAATTGAAGATGAAACAATCGTTCTTCAATTCTAAATGATATCGCGTAAAGGAAAGAAATACGCCGCCACTGAACAACAATAAATCAGTACATTTCTTCCGCAATGCGTGTGTGGGATTTCTATCGATACTTTCCACACAGAATTATACATGCTTCCATACACAATACCATAACATAATATCGATAACATTAAAATATCGCGCTAGTAACTCGCCCGCGAGCATTAACTATATTTTTGTTCTTCTCCCCTTAACTCTTCATATATATCAGGTAAATATATATAATCTATTTATTTATTTATATATATGTAATTACTTTTGTTCATTATGTGTACATGCATGTACGTATATACGTGTACATATATATCATATACATACATATACACATAGATATATACATATAGGATATTCCATTTTTATTGAATTATCTTATATCGATATAAATACAGATATATGCATCACATATATCTGTACATATATACACGTTCTTACGTGCATTCAAATTACGTCGTACGCATAAATTTTATATAATTAACATTCCCCTAACGATGAGACCGATGCAACAATCGCGACTGATTTCTTTTTTTCTTCTCTCTTGGCAATCGGTGACTTAATTTAACGCCATGTGGAAAAGGGACGGCGAGAGACGGAGAACGGATCTTGTATAAACACGAAATTTGTCCACGTGATTCAATTATTCGAATTCACGGAGGACACACATCGAGAGGTTTTGTATTAGAATTCGAAATCGCTACGATACACAAAGCTGTTTAAAAATAATATTAATCACAATTTGAAATGTCAACAAAGCTGCACTAGTTAACATCTTTATAACCGCGTTTTACTCAAATGTGTTTATTGTGCATTGAGCTTACGCCACTTCTACGAACATCTCATATGTCGCTATGGTAATAACATTTTATAAGCTCGTTAATTATTTTAATAATTATCGAACACTCAAAGGATTTCAAATTAGAAATGACATTATCATAGCGGATTACTTTTTAATAGCAATTGGTATCAATGTTAGCATACAGCAATTATTCAATAATTAATAATTTAATTTAACCATTAATAATTATTAAATGTAAAAATATATTTGATGATTGAGTAATAAATCAAATTAATTTTCTGTCAACACATCAAGCCGTCTTATTTTTACATGAGAACGAATACGTGGAGGAAAGCATGGAAGAAGTGAGAACTTTCTACAAAAGTTCTAAAACAGTTGCAAAACTTCTAAAGTTCCCTTTCATATTACTTCTCTGTGTAATATTAACTATAAAAGGAGCATTTTAAAAATTGGTAACTTTGGTTAAACAAGATTGTCGTATACACAATAAATTGATAATTTTGGTATAAAGGTATAATAATAAATAAAGTTAAGCGTGTTAAACACCGATTTCTTCTCTTCAATGTTAATATGAAAATGGAGACCACAATGAATTATGCGAACGCGTTTAAATGTATTTTATCCCAATAATTGACGACGATAATTGGAATATGAGAAAAATTCTAGAAGGACTAAAGATTCAATTGACGAGTAAAACGATGCCGTATAATACGGTTCGATTGGCCCATTGCATTCCTTTTCATATTATTAATATATTTCTTTTTTATTCATTTATTATGCATCTCTGATCATTAGACACTGGAGAAGCGATGATCAACGATCTTATAAATTGAATTTTACTCCACATTCTATTTTAAGAAACTTAGATTTTAATTTAAATATATTTTTTGGTTATCTCTGAAAATCGTTGATTATGTTTTAATTAAGTCTTTGAGAAATAGTCGAAAGTGTCGAAAATGTAAGAAATTGTAGATGAAGGTCTGACTAGTTTCGGAAAAAAGTACCCGAAAATACACTGATCCGAAAATATATTGACTAATTTTAAATTTAGAAGAAATTTATAAAAAACTATACACTAATGTTTTTATTTATAAGAGTCCTTGTATTAGAAAATTTAAAAAATTAAGATAATTTTTCATATTTGCATGGCAAGTCCGTTTAATATAATACAATAATAACTTTATTAAATAATTATTCATTTCTGTAAGGAGGACATACTTTTGAAAGATTAAAATCGAGAAATTCAAATTTTTCGCTACTGTATAATTAGAAAAAGTTTTAAAAATAATTTTTTAGTTTTTGAGTACCTTTTTCCAATATCGATCTTGAACACTAATAACGATCAGGCACAAAGAGCAAGCGATATAAATGAAAAAAGTACATTTGATTTTTTGTGGGATATAAAATAGAAATATTTTAAAAACAATTTAGTCATGATACAACTCTTCTACAATAAATACTTGATTGTTTCATTCAAGTTTAATCTATACAACTCGAGAAAAAAACTTGCAGTTTGATCATATTCTCATTAACATTATTAATTTGCAATGTTTTAGTATCCTTACATAAAAAAAAATTTTTTTAATTAATTTTTGTTTTCAAAAGTAATAAAAATAATATTTTCGCATTATTCACATTATCCTATTTTTATTTATTGAGAGATATTTCGCACAGTGTTTCATTGATTCGGATAAAATCTAATTGAGATTAGAATTTCTAGATAGAAATTTTATTTCTACGATTACTTAGTAATCTTATTTCGAGAATCAAATGCCTTTTTTCATCCACATCACAAATTGAAAATTTGATTATTTATTATTATAATATGCGTTATACATTAACGCCACTTTCTTATAATTGCATTTTTCTATTTGTTTCAAGTTTTCCTTTTCTTAAATATTCTTTACTATTTTTTCGACAGTAGCTTTCTTATATTGTAAGAAAATGTGAATACACTAATTTAATTCTGAAACTCGTGAAAGAGTTATAAAAGATTTACTGTGTCTGATATAATTATCTAGTTTTCGATTTTGTGTCCCGACAGCAGAATTTGCTGAATAAGAAGATTGCGCAATTAACACAATCTTTATTCTTTCTCTTATACATAGAGTTTAAAATTAAAATTAATTATTTAATGTTTTTACACATAGCTTTTCCGCTTGTGTCGTCATGCATTCAGTTCCATTTAATTTAATCGACAAATCCTAATTTTATGGCATGGAAAAAAAGAGAGAGAGGAACAAATCATTTATCAAATAATCGGTCAAATAATTGACAGAATCGTTCGCTCGTTCGTTCACTCGTTCGCTCGCACATCGAGTTTCTTCTCACGAAAACCGTCACAGAAAATAAAATGCGCCTGAAACCAACTCTTTTTCCTTAAAAACAATAACATAAGACTAGAATTCAACAATACATACGGTTTTTAATCGCTGTACAAACGTAGTTGATAAAGTATAAAAGTATAAACAGATAAACATGAAAAGCAAGACGCCGTATAGAAGTAATTCGCACATAATGCGTATGTTAAGAAACCAAAATTATGTGTTTGAATTTTTAAACGGAATAATCATAGGAGAGGACAGTTCGTCAAGAGATCCATGAAGAATTGGGTGCTTCTTTGTTTCGAAGTTTACTCTTTCTCGCAGTGTTTGATGTTTGATGAGACATTGAGAACATTTCACAATATTTCCAATCCGCCAATCTCTTTCAAAAAATTTTAGCCAGATTTGTTTTGCTTGATTAATACATCAGCGAAAACAAATCATTTTTCAAGCTTGATTGCACTTTA